ATCTAATACATACATTGGAAGTGACGGTTTGAGTACTTGGCCTATACACTGAAAAATACGTGTCTTAAAATTAATTTACACAAAGAAAACTATTGCTTTTAGATTGCTGATCCAAAACATAGTAATCTGTATTTATAATAGCCAAAGAGTCTATATGAGAGTGTGTAACCACTCAAAATGTTTCTGAAATTTGGTACCTAGGTTATCCAATACCCGAGGATGTGAATCTCAAAGCCAAATTTTTTAATTTGTAATTCTAATTGATTTGTAAGCTCATGAAAAACTAAAATTTAATTTTTTGTATAGTTTGTCAATGGTTACAGAAAATTAAATATTTATTATAATCTATAAATATAAATAAAAATGGAGTGTAAAAAAGGAAAGTTACATCATCAATCGAGAACGGCTGGTCCGATTAGGATCAAATTTTTTTTAAGATGTTCTTGAATGCCAGGAGAAGGTTTTTACGAAAAAAAATTCTAGGAAAATCCACCTGAAAAGTAGGAAATCTGGATGTAAAAAATACAACAGTGTATTATATCAGTGGCGTACACACTTTAGTATTTTTTCAGTTTACGTAATAACGTAAAAATGTATAATAAAAATGATGACAATTTAAAAAAATATTATATTCCAAATTATACTCCATTATATTATAACTTATAAGCAACCCAGTTTGTTGTTATAATATATTGTAGATATTATTGATAACTTGTTACAAATTAATGAAATTATTGGGAAATTTGTTCAAACACAAACATGAGGGTCGACAATCGTGTAATCCGATATAATATGCCTTAATAGCTATCTCAGTATCGCTAATACTATAGTATAGATATAGAATCTATTTCTCAGTTTTCAATCAAATTCCTGACTCTTTGAACGTTTAGTAAATTGTACTTACTGTTTAAATATTTTATAAAACAATAAAAATGAAAAGAATAAACGAATATTTTTCTAACTCACTAATTTGTGATACAATTAACTCGGAGGAACCAGGTAAATATTTAATACATTATAATTATATTATATTATCAACCTAGGTACAAAAAAATGATTAATATGATAAAAATAAATTTCTTTTTATACCTATCTTTTATTGAATTGTATATAATATATTATTATATACATATAGTTATACTAAATAATTACCTGTAGATAATAGGTATATATTTTTTAAATAATAATCGAGTATTGTAAAAATATTTTTAATTTCACCTTAAGTCATTGCTAATGAGCTGATTACTCATTATGTGCAAAATAATAACTATAGGTACATAGTTTTGATTTATCAATGTATAATATATATGTATACAATTTTTTATATGTAAGCCCCCCCCCCCCATTGAAAATAGCTGTGTACTCCACTGTATTATATATTAGTTACTATTGGTTAATCGGACATGTTTGTTGGTTTGTATTATTATTTTTTGTCAATTTATATATAAATGAATGTGTGTGTGTAGATTAGACCTTTGGGAAGAAGACGGGCTATTTAAAAATGGTTAAATTTGGTTTTTTTTTATTCATCGGATTTTAGTACGGCTAGGTTAGGTTAGGATTTTGTATTAATTGATTATATTAATCCACCATAGGTGGAATACTACAAACATGTATAACTTTGATACTTTAGAGTTAAAACATACACTCACGTACAAACGGCATGGGGTCCGCGATCTACCGCAGGTAGATCGCACCTGATAATATACTGCTGTGAATCCGAATTTTTATTCCGGGCAATGGAAAAGTTAAGATAAATTTTGAACACCATACACTTAATATTTAATAACGAATTTAACAAAGTTTGAGTCATATAGAGTTGATACATTTAAAGAGAAACAAAGTCCACTCGATAAGCTAGTTGGATATAATAAATTGTTGACTTGTATATTGTAGTATTTACACAGTCTTAAAAGACTGGGTAAATACTAAATCCACTAGCATTACTTCATTGGTCACGAGAAACGCCGTGTAGGACCACCTGGTAATAAAAAGGTAATAGAAATATCGGTACCTATCATACACACAATTTTTTTATATTAATAATATTATAATATTAAATATGATGGTACCAGATAAATAGAGGCATTACGACTTAGATGTGCCTTAATTGCCTATCTAGGACGCCGTGTTATCATAATTTCATAATATACGAGACAATATTTTGTATTACCTATTATCAATATTAATTATTATTAATAGTATATTTTAACGTATTAATATTAAATGTATACTAAAATATGTTCCCATGTGTAACCATATGTTTTCTATTAAATATGTATTAAATTCTATAAATTAAAACTAATAATCGGAAGTAATTGATGTACAAATTCGGCGTAGCTTATGCAGTGGCCTATGACTATACGCTAAGCAACAGAACAGCATTGTTAATATTTAGAATTCTATTTTTTTCTCGGCATAAGTATAACCGTATTGATATACATATATTTAATATAAAAGTTGTAAATCTTGAATTTACCAAAATCTCTTATCGTAATAAAATGAATGACCACCATCCTGAACTAATTAAAAGTGAAAAATTGATGGATGAAAATGAATTACAACTTCAAAGTGTTTCATCAGATAAAATGGAAGACCAAAATACAGGTTTGGAAGACAGAATGATACGAGAGAAAAACCGAAAAACATTAATCTTAGCTAATATCTAAAAAGAAAAAACTAGATGTTTATTAAGAGGGTTAAGAGAAGAGTTGGAACAAGTTTTAGCCAGCAACAAGTTACTACCAGAACCATTGCAATTTTCTGATGACTATTTTCAATTAGATGAACGAATCCATAATTCAATTATTGAAGAAGAACGATCGAAAACGGATGAATTAAAGTTAAACTAGCATTCGATTATGAAAAGAGCTTAATAGGTTTTCAAAAAGTCAAAAATTATTTCGTTGCTAACATTTTAACCAATAACTTTGAAGTTAAAGCAATTTTGTAAGGAATTTCGGTTAACGGATTTTTTTATATTTTATTATTTTCTATACCTATATTTTAATTTTGATATTTACAGGACAGATGTAGGAGTCAAAACAATATATCACGAATTGCAACCTAATAATATATTTATTAGTTTAGTAAATGAGTTTATATCTAAGAAACATCCGAAACGACGGTAAGTAGGTAGTTAACAATATTTTATTGTTATCTATTTTTTTTGGTGCATCCAAATTGCATGACAAAAAAATAAATATAAATTGGAATGTCCATATTGCATGCCGTCTCTTGGAGGGATCTATCCGAATTGCATGCCATCTCTTAGAGGGATATGTCCGAATAAAATAACCAAGTAACTTATTATTCCACTGAAGGAACGGACTTTTGTTACATTACAATAAAATATATAAATATTGTAGAAAGTGACACTGTGAAATGTGAATAATAAATATTAAATACAACTATTGTAGTTTAGGGTAATCAAGTGAATGTATTTTTACATAGTATTTCAAATAAATAATATTATTTTAAAATTTGGTGGGTTTTATTTTGACATTTCGGGAGCACTATATTACAATTTCAATATACAATATATTATATTTGGGACGGAGTGGCCAAGTGGACTAAGGCGTTGGTTGCGACGTGCACCATCGCCGGTTCAAACTCGGCCACGGGTGGCATTTTTCTTCAGGCAGTCGCGGTGTCTGGAAAGAGATGCTTGGTGGCCTCACCCGGGCGTGGCAGATACCTACGGGTGCCCACTTAAAAATTCTGCCAAAACAAACACACACGTGTTCAAATCCTACAGTAAATACCGGTCGCTGCGGAACCTGTACTTTATTGTACTGGTTGCCGCTGCATACCGTGTCACCCCTCCCCCCACAGTTCCACAGGCTAATGAACTCAGTTGTCGAAAACTCAAACCAAAAAAAAATTGTATATAATAAATAATAATAAAATAATAATAGTTCATAATAATAAAATATACTAATACCGGAAACATATTTTTTTGAATATTAAAATAGCAATAGCATTTTTTTAAATGGTTAATATTAAATATTAATGTGGGAATAGCTTAAAATTATTCAGTTGCCTAAATTACAATGAAAAATTACGTTACAATATAATAATATTAATAATAATAAATTTAAAAAACAATAATAATATCAATTGTAGCAACCATACATAAAAGAGCGTTTCTATACATACATCTTTTTTAAAAAAAATTAGGAAAGTGCAAAAAAAAGTGCTTCACGGCGGGACCAAGTCCTAAGAGATAGTATGCAATTCGGATGCAGACTTTTTTAAAAATTTTTTTTTTTTATGATCTCCAAAGAATTCTGAAGTTGTAATATATTTTTATCTGTAGTACACATTTAACATTTAATTGGCTTAGATATGTGATCATAATTTTCTTTTTAATAATTAAACACAAAATAGTATTTTCTTGACCAACTAATAAATGTATACGCTGCAGCTAAGTCTATAAAGGAAATAATAGTCCCAGACTTTGCAAGGTATTTACAATTTTTAGTTTAGCGTGTCAGTAAAAATAACAAATAATCTAAACTATATTTAAATTAATTAGTACTACCTATTATTATGTTTATGTAGAAGACGGGAAATGACAGTTTTAAGCAAACCTTCTCCCAATCTCACACTTGGGGGGTTTCTGAAACAGATATATTTCTTCGAAATGTACGAGAAAAGTATTCGTCTTTACCAAAGAAAATTCAGTTTGCCATTGATAAGTTTGCTGCAAGATAAGATTTTGAAAATCGACAAATTCTTAAAATTCAAGACATGCATAAAAATAAGCAAGGCGAAGATAATAATATCGAAGAAGAGGCATTACTAGAAAATACTATGGATTCTATTGGTTATTTGAACTTGAAATCAGGATCACATTTTAAAGTGACTGAAAATTCAATAATTAAAATGGAAGATACGTTTGAAAATTACAGGGAAGTTAAAGATAAGGTTAATTTTCCATTATTTAAAATATTTATAAATAGATTTTTATAATTTATAGTCTATTATAGATATACATTATGAAAAAAACTTTTAATGAAAAAGTTTGCGATCTCAGAACACAAAAAATAAGATTAATACACGAATACAAACAATTCAAGTTTGATATTAGTATGATACAAAAGGAGTTAAATGATCCAGAAATAATAACGCCATCAGATTTCCCTGAAGTCCTAATGGATGAATCTATTGATGTAAGAAATATACTACATAAAACTGTAGTAAAATATTATTATTATACAATTTTTGCATTATTACTTTTTAATTTTTATAGAGTCCTCTTAGCTATAACTATGGTTAGGTTATATCCATGATCCATCTTAAGTATCAAAGTTTCTTTATGCTTTTAATACTCATTATGCAGTTAAATAGTTGTGTCCCATAATAAAAGAGGCGTACATGAGTTGTGTCCTGAACAATGTCGAATTTAAAAATTAATATTAATTATAAAACCTATAAAATTAAAAATCGATTTTATGCTACCACTGATATTATATAGCGGTAAAACTGGGAGGTCCAGTGGAAAATACTCGATGAGATGTTACAATGATATAATATTAATAATGGGGGATAGAGTGGCCGAGCGGTCTAATGCGTCGGTTTCGACGCAGCCGATGCCGGTTCGATCCCCGGCCGCGGGCTGCATTTTTCTTCGGGCAAGTCACGGTGTCCGGAGAAGAAGTGCCGCCATCCCCCACCCGGGCATATCAGATACCTACGGATGCCCACTAAAAAATCTGCCAAACACACAAGTGTTCCATCCCCTACAGTTCCACAGGCTAATAACCTCAGTAGTTGAAGCCTCAACCCCCAAAAATAAATAAATCAATAAATAAATAATAATCGTATGATGTTATAGTGGTTTAAATACTTAAGTACCTACTACATAATATTGTATTTGTAGCACACACATTTAAGTCCTCAGATACCTACAGGAAATACGTACATATCTATCTATAATTGCTTATTTTTTTCTATAATTGTATTTCAGCCTAACTTAATTGATTCGTTTGAACCGATTTATCACTGTGATCGGATGGATTTGATTTTTAATCCCGAATTAAGCCCTTTGTATAAAAATGCATATTTTTACGAAGAGCCTACTCATGAAGAAATCATTATGCGACAAATGAGAATTGATAAACTAAAATATAGACATATGCATTAGTAGGAATAAAATAATGTTGTTTATTATTGATTTACTTTAGAGATAGAAATGGAAATATTGAAAAAGCGAGATCATGCTCATGTGTGTATTACTGAACCACAGAAGAAAATTGGAGTGCTTTTTGAATTTTATTTTGGTAGGTAATTTAAAGTAATTTTTACTATTATTTTATAATTTTTAGATTCTGAGTGGAACGATGAATGTATTGATTTTACAATGATGAGTGTTTTTTTTTAGATTCTGAGCGGAGAGAGGAAGCTAGTGGTTTTACAATAAATTGTAACGTGCTGGGTACTTGGTACCTACTATTGTAGTAATAATAGTGGACAAGTGGCTACCAGTACGTAAACGTTGCAGGTCGCAGACACTTCTTCAGATGATATAGTCGTGGTTGATGAATAAAAGATATAACAGTTGTTGTATAATTGTGAATTTTATTATTACACTTCAATAATTTTTCTAAGTTCAAATATTGTCGTACAGAGTGGCGTGAAGGTGCTTGCACTAATGGGTGGTAGTACACGTCTGAAAACAGGCCTATTCAGGCTCCCTTATATATGAAGTTAACCGTACATCATTCCAGCCCACGCATTTACGATTGAATGTATTACTAAACTATGACTATTATTAAAATAATCATTTTACTCTTTTAGATTCTGAGTGAAACGATGAATGTATTGATTTTACAATGATGTGTGTTTTTTTTTTTATTTTTTTTGTATCTGTGTACACGATAAGTAGTCGAAATAATGCTTCGATTTTCGACTTCAGTATCTTGTTCGATTGGAAAGTGAATATCGTTGGTGCATTGGGGAGGTCAAAATTTAAAATTCCCAGTAATTTTCAAAAGCGCCAAGAAGAACAAAAGAAAATTTATGGAAAAACGGGAATTTTTACGCAAAATCGATTTTTCAGAAAATTGAATTTGGTTTTTGGTGTAATTTTAAAACAAATGAACATGCAATGTTACATGGTACATGCAATTTGCACTGGTTGTTTATATTTGCATCTTCTATACACGATAACATTTTCAAAATATTTTGATTTATTTTGAACAGTTTAGGGACATTTTCATTTTTCATTTTTTTTTAGTTTTTTTTCTAGATATATCAATAAAATTTTATTTGTTGGTTGCGAAAGCTTGAAAATTTAATAGAAGGCTCCTAATATATTGTTTCAAAGGCAGATGAAAAATATTAAAAATCCTTAGTCACAATTTTTTTTTTATAAGCATTTAAAGTTCAAAAATTGACAAAATATGGAAAAATCACGAAAATTAGCAAATTATTTTGAGTTAAGAATTCGTAAAAATTTTTCCTTTTAAATCTAAGATTTGAAAATGTAATACAAGATTACTCATAAGTTTGTCTACCTGTATAAATAAAAAAATCTCTACCGGACAGTTAAATTAAATTTTTATGAGCGTTTGAAATTCAAATTTTTACAACATTGGTTATTCACTCGATTTCTCATGTAGCGATTTCCTTATTTTGTTGTAATTCAAAAACGAATAACTGTAGATACATGAAAATTTCACTGAATGTTTATATTAGCATTTCCTATACACCATACGATTTTGAAAATATTTTGACTCTTTTTGAGCTGTTTACGGATATTTTCATTTTTCAATTTTTTTAGTTTTTTTTTGTATGAATATCAATAAAGTTTTATCTGTTGGGCCAAAAAGTGTAAAAATTTAATACAAGGCTCCTGACATATTGTTACAATATCAGTTGAAAAATATTAAAAATACATAGGCACAATTTTTTTTTATAAGCATTTAAACATCGAATTTTGACAGAGTTTTTCAAAATCTCGAAAATTATTAATCATCGTAATTAATAAATTATAAAATGTTCAGTTTTTATAGCTAAGGATTGAAAATTTAAAACAAGATTCCACGTAAGTAGTTAATTCTCTTACCGAAAAATCTAAAAAATATACAATCACAGTTTATTTTTATAGTCATTGTATGTTCAAATTTGGACGAAATTACATAAAAAAACCTAGTTATTTTCTTGTGATTATATAATATTATTCGTGATTACCTACTTGAAACTTCTATAGTGTACTATTATATATCTATGATAGTATCAGGGTTTGTTATTGATGTTGATGTATAACGTGTTATAAGTACCTAATGGATATTGTGATAATGTGATATGATTAATTTGGAATTTATTATAGGTCAATTTTTTTTTTTAATACCATAGATATGTATATAATTTGTCTTAAACCTAGACTGACATACCGTCTTCGCTCAGAATCGTTTTTCTTATACAATGATATTGTATCATTGAATTCAAATTTAAAAGCATCCATTATACAGTGACCCACTTGTAACCTACTGTACAGCAGAGCGACATAAACTTACCCACCTTTTTTTATTTGAATTTCGTCGTATGCACTCAGTGTTTTCCCTATAATTATTATAAAATAACCACCTTATTCTTTTATTTTTGGATCTCGTTGTGTGTGCCCAGTGTTCCTGTAAAATGTTACAACCGCCTATTTCTGAACCCTAATTCCCTTAATATCTGGTTATGCCGGTCTATCGTATATTATAATAATAACTATGTACTCATGAAATTGGTATTATTCCGTAGTAACTGGCTTACTACACAATGGTGTTTATTTAATTTAATTTTATTTTTTATATACAAAATTGTTAACAGAAGGAGTGCTTAGATTTAAACATATTGTACCTTATCTTTTAGCTAATTGGATCAAGATGGTTACTTTAGGGAGGTCATTTTTCGATTTTATCAATATTTATTTAATGCCAGAAAAACAACCGAAAAATTACGAAAAACCGCTAAAAATGGGATTTTAATTTCTTACGCTTTGTTTATGACCATATATAATAAATAATAACAATATAAAATATACATACTGACAAACCATCTCCACTTAGAATCGTTTAACTTATACAATGATATTATATTATTGAATTCAAGTTTAATACAATCTATTATACAATGATCCACTTATAACCTACAGTACAGCAGATCGACACATCCACTTAATCGTTTATTATTTTTATTTTTTTGTGTCTGTCATCACGGTTTGGGGCAGTAAAACTGCTTCGGTTTTCTTCAACAGTATCTTGTTCGATGGGAAAGTGAATCTAGTTGGTGCATTTAGGAGGTCAAATTTTAAAATTAACAATAGTTTTCAAAAGCGCCAAGAAAAACAAAAAAAGAAAATTAAGGAAAAACGGGAATTCTTACTCAAAATCGGTTTTCCACAAAATCAATTTTGGTTTTTGGAGTAACTCTAAAACAAATTAATGTATATACATGCAATTTTCACTGGTTGTTCATATTTGCATTTTCTATACACGATGAAATTTTCAAAATATTATGATTTATTTTGAACTGTTTACGGACATTTTCAGTTTTCAATTTTTTTAGTTTTTTTTTTTCTATAAATATTGTTAAAGTTTTATCTGTTGGGCCAAAAAGTGTAAAAATTTAATCCAAGGCTCCTGATATATTGTTACCATATCAGTTGAAAAATATTTAAAATACAGTCAAAATTTTTTTTATAAGCATTTCAATATCGAATTTTGACAACATTTATCAAATTTAAAATTGAATAATTATTTTGTAGTTAAAAATGTATATGATGTTCTACTTTTATATCTAAGGATTGAAAACTTAAAACAAGATTCCACGTAAGTAGTTAATTCTGTTACAAAAAAATATTTTTATTTTATTTTACATAATATCTTGTGTCATAACTCAAACTGATAAAAAAACAAACAGTATTCCATATTTAAATAAAATTATGCAAGTTTACTAGTCTATACTCGGTGTTTTTTAATTAAAATTTATCATAAAAATATGTGTACAAGATTATTATAATGTACAGAGGAAATTCACAATTGTATTTAGAATATATTAATTAATTTAGAATATATTAATTAAAATGGCTATAATGACTGAAGTTCAATATTAGTTTATAACTAAATTAGAATATTCTTACTTAATACATTAAGTTGTGTAATATTACTAAAATTGTTCATACATAACATGCATATTGCATACAGTCTATAAAAATACATAATTATCAATTTCCTAATAAACTTAAGTACGTGTATATGCAATACATTATAACATTTTAATACAGTGTATAAAAATATAAGATACAATAATATTAATTAATATTACTTTATATTTGTGCTTTTATTATCAAAGACCTTACATATTTTGTAATTAAATAACCATGAAGTTGATCAAACTATGTGATTTTGTCAGTCATCAATAAAAATGTGTTTGTAATGAACCATATATTGCATAAATTATATAGACAAATAAAAATAAAATATTTTAATAGGTACAATATATTGACAAATAGATAACATCAGTTCCACAATACCAAAGGACAAAACATAAAAATAGTTAACAAATATAATCAACAAAATTTAAATTACAGGCTAGTTTAAGGATCTAAAACATTTTTTTGAAAAAAGTTTTAATACTTTTAGACTTTATTTCAGTTACATTTTTGTTTTTATTGGAATCAAGGACACTTAAGGTTCCGTTATGTTGTAACGGTCCGGAACTTCGTTTATTTCTAACTGACAGTGCAGTTTTTATGAAATCATGTGTTGAACCATTGCAAGTAGTAAGATCAGATGAGGAAGCTCTTCGGTTTGATTGGGAAAGGCTAGAGGTAGATTTTAGTTTGATGTTACTATCAATACCACCTGCTTCTAGGTTAATTGCATTTGACTTTGATTTCAAAATAAGCTCTTTTCTCTTTTTTTTACGTTTTTTTTCAATTTTTATATTTTCTCCGTTGTTATTTCGAATTAATAAATCTTGATGAGTGGTTCCTAATGAAAATATAAAAATGTACAGTTTAGTTAATATTTGTTTTGTCATAATACAATTAATGTAGTAATTAATTTTGTTTATTTTAGGTTTACTGTTAAAATAAATATATAAACCTAAATATTAAAATAAATTTTCTAACAAAAGGAATGTACGAAATAT